ATTATTTAGTGATAGTATGTTACCTAGTTCAGTGTGTACAGCTGAGCTTCACCCAGGTGCAGGAACATTTTCATAACATCTTCATTAGCTATGATCAAGCACAAATTAACAACACTAACAGGGGATCACATCAGACTTGAATGAGTAAAGCAATTATGCGAGCTCACTGAGCAGACAAGCTTTGCTCGCAAGCATGTCCCAAGGGCGGATACAAAGTTAAGTGAAGGCAACAGATTAGAGCACTTTCTAAATGTAAACTCCTTTTCCTTGCATAATTATGTACCACAGCAGTTCAGGCCAATGTGCAAATCCATTTTCCTGCTGCAAGTTGTATTGAATAGTCAATTATTAAAGATCATTAGCAAATATTTATGATTTTTTTAAAAATGTAGCCACTAGCCATGGATAAGGAGGTTGTGGTTCTGACTTTGGCCCTCCATACTTTGCAGTTACTCACATTAATAGTATTGCAAGAGGCTTGAAAGAAACAGTGCCCAAGATCTTGTGGTACACAGCGAAGTGTATTAGCTTCAGGCCAGAGCTTTAACACAGCTGGCAAATCACCAGCAATGATAAGATCTATCAACCAAAAGGTTTCCAGTTTGAAGCCCCGGGCTGGCATGAGCTGTCGATTGTCAGCCCAGCTTACTGTTGACCTAAGCAGTTCGAAAACAGCTTGAGCTGTAATTAGAGAAATTAGGTACCACTAAAACAAGTGGGGGAGGTATTTTATGACATCATAAAGAAAAAGTTCAGAAAATGCCCAGCAACCAAAAAAGAAGGAGGAAATCTGCATGGCTCTTCATCATAGAGGATGGAACAATAGCACCCCCTTGTGGCTGGATTCAAGCACAACCACCAAGGCACCAAAAAGCCGGATGTCAACACAACATACCTCCTTTCTGTTCTGTCTGTCTCTGTATTGTTTATTCAAAACAGTATTGAATGTTTGCTATAGATGTGTACTGTGACCCGCCCTGAGTCCCATTGGGGAGATAGAGCGGAACATAAATAAAGTTCACAACCAGAACTATAGTGTATATTTTCTTAAGAACCCCCCACCCAAGTTTCACTGTTTAGTTCCCCCCCCCCTCCCCATTCATGCACTTTTCTGTGACTAGTGAGAAGTTGGGGGCAATATCAGAGGTTTAGTCCACCCTCCACAACAATTCAAAAAAGACATACACAGGCAAAAGGGCAATTTACTAACATGGTTACAACCAAATGAGTGTAAGGAACTGACTGTTGACTAAACATTTCATCCAAACTTGAAAAAGTTTTGAACAGGAGTCAGTCATTTGGGAGTTATCTAGGATTTGTAGCAGAAAGTAAATTTTCCAATTTCTTCTTTATGTTATATGGGCTTCCTGAACAACATAAACAACTTTTAAACAACCAGATGCTTAAAGTATGAAGGCGAAACATCTGTCCTGAATTTCTTTTCTTTTCTTCAGACATTTCCTATGCTCAAATTCTTTGTGCCATTACCTATCTAGCCCAAAATGTCCCACCAGTACACAAAAGAGTTATCAGCAGATCTAAGACAATGCTAAGGGTTTGGGCTTTTTTTAAGGAAAAAAAGACGGAGGTGTGGATATAGACCAGTGATGATTAAACCTAAACAAAGCTTTTACAGCCACATGGCGTGCTGGCTGAAATTATACAAAAAGTATTTCATGTTTTTAGAAGACCTGCTCCTGCAACTGACATCTGTTTGTCATAGCCTGTGATTTTTATTCCTATTTTCAAAATATCTTCAGACGAACATATCTCAATTCAGTATGCTTTTTTTGCAAATTGTCATCAGAAGATAAAGATAAACACAGGCTTAACTTGTCAGATTCCTGAAGCATATACTAGAAGGAATCCCATTATAGGAGAGGGAAGAGGTTACTCAACATGTGCTGTAATGTCTTGTTTAATCTTGAATGTTTTGGAATGTAATAAGATTGCTACAAATGCCTTGAAGCCTGTAACCTTGAGAGTTGTAGTCCAAAAGATAACTGTCAGATCTGCCCCACACATTGCACTAGTGCTGAAAATCAACCCGATCACAGTTGAATATTGCGCTGTAGTTGTACATCTGCCACATTAATCGTTTAGTTTATAGCATTGTGCACCATTTCAATTTCAAGATTATTATGTGCTTATTTAGTCTGGGATGGGCAAATATGAACATCGATATAGTGATATAGCGCCCTTTTACTTTGCCTTCCATTCCCTAAATTTGTCATCTGGTTCTAGCACTTTATCCAGCAACGCTATCCTTACAAATGATTTGCACCAGCCCACCCGTCCGAGCTCAGAAACTAGTTACTACTCAGGCCATTGGTGGTCTGCTCGATGGTTGTTTTATATTGTGTTATGTGTAGTTTGTTTTATATTGTTGATGAAGCAGATTTTATGAATTTTGTTGTGTTATATTTTAATCACGTTGATCGGGATTGTCCCCATGTAAGCCACCCCGAGTCCCTTCGGGGAGATGGAAGCAGGGTACAAAAACTGCCATCCTCCATGAACTACATACCCAATGGTGAAGGATTATGAAAGTTGCAAGCATCTCAAAAGGCATAGTTGGCCACAGCATGATAGTCTATCAAATAGCATGTCTTCCAAATGGCACCTTTTTATTAAAAAAAAGTTCTGCACTAAGAATCAGTGGGTAGAAATAATAACTATAATAATTCTAAACACTTGGGTAGTGTCCGACATGTGATCCAATACAATAGCCAGCACAATGATCTTGTTTACTGTGTACTAATATTGTTGTGTTTCAAATAATAATAATACATTATTTTTCTTAGCCACGTCTCCTCAAAACATTTTAAAAAACACATTCCAGTTAGCCAATCAGGAAAAGCAATAGGTATTCTATCTCTTCCCTCCTCTCCAACTTGCAAACTACTTTTGTGTTTTACACTCAATTTGCATCAATGGATGTAAGCCAAAGACAAAAGTAAAGAACAAGAGAAAAAAAACATGACATTCTCAAAGTATCTGGGAATGGCACAGGATTAATTGGGTTGGCCCTGACTCTTTTGCTTCAGTAGGTCCCTCAATATGATGAAATTTGTTGAAAACATAGGGTTTATGTTTTCCTATGTCCAGGCGATTAGTCCAGGCGATTTGACTAACTTCATCTCTACCTACAAACCAACTCAGGCACTGCAGTCATCAGAAGAGGCCCTGCTCTTGGTCCCACCCCCATCTCAACCACAGATGGCGGGAATGAGAGAGAGGGCCTTCTCTGGGTTGCCCTCCTCTTCTGGAACTCCCTCCCTAAAGAAATAAAGCTGCCCCCCTCTCCTTCAAAAAACAGTTGAAAAGCTATGTTTGCTCACAAGCATATGGAGAAGAAAAGGATTAGATGATGAGAAACTACTACTAGACTGGGCCTTGTTAGATCACATTAGCCTATTTAACAACTTTGGCCATACAATCTATGCACACATCTCTGAACCTTCATGTTGTTTTGATATATTAATTTGAATGTTTTATGCTTAAGTTCCATGCTAGTTATAATTTCCAATTGATTATGTTTTATTTAAATTATAGTTGTCGGAACCCAGACACCTTAAATAGCCAGATTCAGGAGTATGTCCAAAAGAATAGTTTATTAAAGCAAAGTAAACAGGACTCAGAAACACTTGCTTCAGTGCCTCTGGTCAAAACTCAAAAGTTGTAGCAATTTCTAGCTTGAAAAACAAACTTAGTCAATAATCCGGATTATCCTGGCAAAAATCAGATTAAACAGGAGTTCTTCCAAAACACCCCAAAATCACACAGTAAAAGGAAAACAATCAAACAAAGAGCTGTGAAGAGCCGTTGTCCAAATGAAGTCCAAGGTCGAAGAAATCCAAGTCCGAAGTTGAAAGGTTCCAAAGTCCACAAGGCAGCGTTGACGTCAAAAGTCAAGGAGAGGGGAAATCCGCACTTACAAAAATCCAAGCCAGTCGGTAGACGAAGCAAAACAGCAACCTGCAGATCCAGGACCCAAGACCAACAGGAAAGCGGCAGCGACAAGACCCAAGGCACGAAACCAACATTTTGCCTACTGCAAAGTTCTAACACTTCAGTGCCTACTTTTATCTTACAACTCATCATCCAATGATGAGCTGCCCTCCACCCCGTCCTCATGACTCTCAGCTGGTTTAGCTTCCACAGCTGAGCACCAACGCCAATCCCTCCAACTCTTCCACCRRTTGTCAAGACTTAGGTCTCCCCAGGATTCTACAYTATCACCTGATTGCCAATCCCCACCACCAAAAAACCCCACAAATATGTCACTGGACGTTGGTTGAGTACACACATTCTGAACCTCTTGTACCTTGGTCCAATCTAGTGCTTCCTCCTCATCCCCATCACTCCCAGACTCATCATTCCCAGAAAAACCTGTGAAATCTTCTTCTTCCGTGGGAGCAGTAAGTATCTCCCAGATCTTCTTTCTTTGACGCTCTTCGTCTGACTCCTGCTCTCAAGTAATCCTCTTAGTGCCTCTATTCATATCTGWTGTATCTCCTTCCTCCTCCTCACTCATTTCACTCTCYGAAAACCCCTCAAAGGATTCTTCATCAGTGGGTGACATAAGTATCTCCTGGATCCTCTTCCTCTGCTGTTCCTCATCTAGTTCCTGAATARCTCTTTTCCCTCCTCTGACACTTCTACTACCAGTTGCAGAGTTGCCAACAGACTCTACTACAACAATAGTTGTTATGCTTAAGTTGCTCTTTATGTACGGTTATCTTGGGTTTTTATATTTGTATTTAGTATTATTGAGGTATTGAATGTTTGCCTTTTTGTTTGTTGGAATCCGCCCTGAGTCCCCCAGGAGAGATAGGGTGGAATATAAATAACGGTTTTATTATTATTATTATTATTATTATTATTATTATTATTATTATTTATTGAAAATAAGAAATCTGTGATACGAAGAAATAAAAAACACAATAGAAACATAAATATGTCAAAAGTTGTGAATAGGCAGCCATTGAAAACTTTATTGTCTTTTTGCATGAATCACATACTTCTAGTATCTTTCTCCAGCTGCAACTGAATAAATGGAATTTGAGGCAAATGCTTATCAAACAGGAGTCACTTGGTTGATCTTACATGGTGCTATGCCTTCATTGGGAACTGCTGAAGTTGAAATATCTTCTTCTGCGCTTGTTATAACAACTTGGCCGCAAGTTATAAATTCAACTGCACATTCACGAAACTGCACATGATAAAAAAGAAAGAAAGAAAGAAAGATTTCTGGTCTTCAGTGAAACCACGTTCTTTTTTAATACAGTATGACCCCTGTATCCATAGAATTGAGACCCACAGTTTCATTTATTCTCATCCAAAATTGTTTTCTAGGTTCTCCAGCATGAATCTGTGCTGTTCTTAGGGCCAGAAATCCTTCATTTCAGAAAGGTCCATAGTTTCGCATATTCACACAAAGTCCAGGAACATATTCACTAGAGATACAAGGGTCATATTGTATAACAAACTACTTCAACAACAACAAAAGTCTACCCAGAGGCCATGAAGAGCTCTTGCCACCAGGACATCTTCCTACTGTTTAGTTGTAAAATGCATTCCTATAATTTGAATTCATTAACTTGGTTTCTATCCTCTCAAGCAGCATAAAACAATTTCACTCCATATTCAATACAACAGAACTATAAATATTTAAATATGGCTGGTATATCAATATTTTCCAGTCCTCGGACTGTTGGATTCAGCTCCCAGAAGTCACTGTCATTATGGTCAATGGATGGGATAAGTGGGAGTTGTAATCCATCTGTGGCCCAAATTTAGCAAGCACTGATCTAAATAAATGACACCAAGTGACAAGCCATTAAGAGTACACTTGCTTGCCCCAACAATGAACACTATATTTTAAATCTATACGCAATTATCAGCATGTAGCCAAATCTCCAAGATGGATTTCACTATAATCACAATTTTCATTACTGTTTTAACATAGAGCATACCTGTTTGTTCAGAAAAATGTAGATGATGGGGTTGTATACTGGACTAGTCTTTGAGAGATACGTTGGGATGGTTGCAGCCAAAGGTGAAATATTTAGTGCTGGATGAAAGACAACAGTCAGAGCAAAGATAGTGTAGGGCAACCAACAGATCAGAAATGCCACCACCATCACAAGGACCATAATCACAGCTTGAAATTCTTCTTCAGGATTACTTTTTCCTCCCAATTGTTCAATTTTCTTGTTTAGCTGTCAAATCAAATCGATAACATTAGTCATTTGATGAAATCTGCTTATTCAACTAGTTAAGAGTTTATGCTAATCATACATCTGTAATGTGACTAGTAAATACTGTATTTCCCCTATTCTAAGATCCACTTTTTACCTACATAAACATCTATAAAAATGGGACACAACTTAGAATTGTGGGTGCATCTTATGTGTTGTTTTGTTGTATTATTATTGTTGTTATGTCTTTTGTGGTACTGAAATTAGGGTGCATCTTACAATCAATGGTACATTACAATTGAAAAAAAATATAATAAAGTGCCTGAAAGTTTATATCTTTCATATCACTGTTGCCATATGTTTCAAATAAGTCAGAGAAGACATACTACTAAATTGATAGGAAAAAGTTTCAGCATGTTTATTGCTGTGCTGTAAAAATACAATAAAATCATCATTTAAATAAAATGTGTATGTGTTTATGGTTTTAGTGTTCACAGGTAGATTTTTTTCTCCAAATACAGGAATATTTAGGTCATCCATACCATAAACGATATGGCCTGCACCGTTTATGCCTTTTCTCTCATATTCATTTCTGTTAGTATCTCAAATGGCCAAGCAACTACAGGAGGCTATTGATTGTATTTGACAATTTGGTCCTTGTTTCTATATTTTCATTTGTAGTTTAGGGCATTTACTTTTTTAAAAAAAAAAACCTAAATTTTAAAATATCTTTGAGTCTGAGATGGTTTTGTATCATGTCAGGCAATTAAGAATATGAAAATAGTCAGGAATCTTGAAGGAAAGCTATCCTGGCAGTCAAAAAGTATGGGATGAAATTAATTAGCAAATAGAATTATATCTAAAGGTTTTCTTACATTTGAAGGTTTTGAGTACTGAATCTCCTGCAAAGACAGCAAGACTAGCAATGTACATTCTCCATAAATACGGAATGTATTATTATTTGCATTTTTGTTTTCAGCTTGACAAGTGCAAAGTCATATATTAATTTGTAATTTGTGGGGTGAGGAGGTTCGTGTGATTTAATGTGTTTGCTTGTGATGTGGTGTGTTCATTTTTAATGTATTTTTTTTAAAAAAATTAAAAAATCAACAAATAGAAAACACACATATTTACTTGACTACTTACCCCATGTAATGACCTAATGACATTGCCATAAGAAAATCCAATGATCAAAACAGGAATGAAGAAGCAGGAGAGGAAGTATACAATCAGGTAGCTATAGTTGTTCCAGGATCTTTCTTCCCAGCCAATCGAGCATGAGGTCTGAACTCCTTCAGGACCATATGAACTCCAGCCAAAGAGGGGCACCACAGCCCAGAAAAGACAGAAAACCCAGATAAAACCAAGTAGCTGGTAACCTCTTTGAGTGCTCATCTGGAGGGTTCCTAAAGGTTGGCATACCACATTGTATCTTTCATATGCTAAAATTGTCAAGGACCAGAGAGAAACAATTCCTGGAAAACAATGAGAAGATCTAAACAACTAGAAATCACAAGGCCACAATATGTCAGATTGCAACACTGTTCTTCAAATTTCCTTTCCATACATACTAGAAAGTAAAACATACTGATTTAATGAAACATATTCCCCAAATGTCTCTCTCTCTCTCTCTCTCTCTCTCTCTCTATCTATCTATCTATCTATCTATCTATCTCTCTATATATATATATATATACACACACACACACACACATACACACACACACAAGCACACACAAACTTTTGAGCAACAATTTGGAAGCCATATTGAAATCTATAGATTTCCACAAATGAAATGAATCAATTTGTCCTAAACATGTGGTAAAAACACGCAGGGCTCAGGAGTACTACTGGAATATGTCCCATTGAACCCAAGGACAACTGAATTGGAATAGAAAATGATAGTAATTATATCTGCCAACGATATCTTACTTTTCCCAAGCAATGGGTGGTTATCTTAACTTAGTAGAATCCAAGGGCCTCTCATAAATCATCATGCAAGAAAGGATAACATTTCATGGTTTATTTAGTGATAGAAATGTTAAGATAGTTTGGCATTTTAGTTGTTGCTCTTTAAGTTCTTGCTCAGCTTCATCAATATTTTGGATGTACGGTATATAACAAGAGAGAAACAAAGAGCAGCAGCAGTAATCCAGTTATTTTGCTTACCAAAATAATTGACTGCAAATCCTTGGAAAATGCAGAATCGCCGTCCCAGAAAGAAATATCCATGGTAGTTTGTAGCTATCACAATAGTGGTGCCACAGATAGACATCATAAGATCTGAAAAGGAGAGGTTTAGAATGAATATGTTGATGGGATTCCGGAGCTGAGGGTTCTTCAAGGTTACTGCAATAACCAAAAAATTATTAAATATTGAAAACAACGCATTAATGAACATCAGGAAAGCTAAGACTCCATATCCAGCTCTTGGGAAAATTGTAGGTCTCACAATATAATCCTCCTCTGCTTCAAGCACAAGAGAACTTTCATTCTCCATGATAGCAATAAGCAGAAGTATGGATTTTGTTATAACAGCCTCCAGAAAATATGACTCATTTTCTAAGTGGACTGAGATAATCTAATAGTAAAAGTGCCCAGGCATATAAAAAGAAGCAACCAAAATCGAGGTTGATAAATCCAAGGATTAAAGCAATAGCTGTCCTTTCTCAGCAGTGCCTTTGTTGTATTCACTGGCTAGCAATAAACAATTGAGCATCCTAAGAAGATTACACTCAAAACAATGGTAGTCTCCAGTTGACAGCATATGCTGAAAAGGAATTCAGAAGCAACTTGGTAAAATATCTCAGGGTTGAGGGTTTTTAAGTGATTGTGGTTGAAACACATGAAAAGGATATATGAAATTATGTATGGTATAGAAAAAATAGAGAAGGAAACTTCTTCCTCCTGTTGATATAATACTAGAACCTGGGGTCATCCAGCAAAGCTGAATGGTGGAAACAACAGGCTGAGAAAATATAGTGCTTCACAAAAGGAGGAATGGCAACCAACTCAATCAATTTTTGAAAGGGTTTAGACCAGTGGCTCTCAACCCGTGGGCCACCAGGTGTTTTTGGCCTACAACTCCCAGAAATCCCAGCCAGTTTACCAGCTGCTAGGATTTCTGGGAGTTGAAGGCCAAAACATCTGGGGACCCACAGGTTGATAACCACTGGTTTCGACAAATGATTATTGTATATTCTAATATAAGAAGTGAATGCCTGTCACTGCCAGGGTCTGGACAGGAATACAAAGGGGGAGAGGTTTAATTACATTCATGTCATCCTGGTTGGCAACTGGTTGGTCATCATGTCAACAGAATCCCAGAAACTCCTCTTCTTCTAGTAAAAGAATGCATGGAGGTGGCCATGTTCTAGCAGCATTTTCTCCTAAAGTTTCACCTGCATCTGTAGCTGGCATCTTCAGAGAATCCCAGAGTTTAGATATGAAGTCTAGAGTTTAGGTATTCAAAGAAAAGAGAGAGGTGAAGTTGACAAAGGGATGTGAATACTGCAAATATATGGGCTCCAAATGTGAGCAATTTTCAATGCCTCTCTCTCTGCAATTGTGAGAGTGTAGACAGGGTTGGATTTGGAGGACCTGAATTCTTGTTTGAGGGGTAAAGCCCTCATTTTGTCGCTACCTCTTAGTTCCTCCTCTGGCCCAGCCCCATTCCTTTCCAGTGTCTATGATAAGTTATTTGGTGCTATGATTCTTTATTTATTTATTTATTTATTGTGTCAGAAGCAAATTAAAAATGCAGTTATAATGTATTAAAAATCACAAACAAAGTTAAAACTTGTCATTATGCTAAATTTTTTTTGATCAGAAGCTGGCCGCTTGGAGTGCCTCTGGTGTCGCTGTAAGGAGGTCCTCAATTGTGCATGTAGCAGGGCTCAAGATGCATTGTAATAAGTGGTCTGTGGTTTGCTCTTCTCTATACTCACATGTCATAGACTCCAGTTTGTGGCACCATCCGAACTCATCCTTCCCTCATCCGATCTCAGCCATGGCTTGAAGTTCTGGATTTTAGACTGCCACTTTTGGACTCTTCCTTGCTGAGGTGTTCCTGGGGGTATCTCTGTAAGTATGAGGAAGATGTTTCTTGATTTAAGTTGTTGGCATGCTGGCTGATATCTGAGCAGTGGATGGGCCAGAGATGTCCATGCCTTTGTTCATTCATTGCTGGCTGCTACTTCCCAGCAGATATCACATGGGGCAATACCAGCTAAGCAATATAATTTTTCCTGTGGTGTTGGGTGTAGACATCTGTGATAATGCGGCATGTATCATTAAGAGCCACATCCACTGTTTTGACATGGTGAGATGTATTCCACACTGGGCATGCATACTCAGCAGCAAAGTAGCAAAGTGCAAGGGCAGATATATTCAATGTAGCTGGTTGTGATCCCCAGGTTGTGCCAGTCAGCTTTCATATAATATTGTTCCTAGTGCCCACTTTTTGCTTGATAGTCAACAGTGCTTCTTGTAAGTCAGAGTACAATCCAGGGTGACTCCCAGGTATCTTGGGGTGCTGCAATGCTCTAGTGGGATTCCTTCCCAAGTCATGCTCAGAGCTCGAGATTCTTGTTTGCTCTTAAGATGAAAACACATGCCTGCATTTTAAATGAGTTAGGAATCAACTGGTTTTCTCTGTGATAGGCAGTAAGAGCACCTAAAAGAGCTTTTGTTCAACTATTTCAAAGCTTCCTGCTTGAGTGGTGATGCCATGATCATCAGCATAGATGAAACTCTCTGTCCCTTCTGGCAGTGGCTGACCATTTGTGTAAATGTTAAAGATTTATGATTAATTGAAATCACAAATTAGATTGTGAATATGTTCCATTTGGAAGAAGATGACAACAGCTCTTTGTGTTTTTATGTTTATAATTTGCATATTTTACTGCTATATTTTTTTTAAAAAAAATAAAACTGCAGTGTCCCATTGTTGCGAAGTATGGTCTTCTTCAGCCTCACCTCCCTTTCCCCAATGGATATATTCTTTAAGATCTGCATATATGTCAGGCCTTGGAAACATTATTTTTGGTCTAAAATTCCTTGACTTCCTGGAGAAATTCTAAAAAGTGATGCCCAAAATAGTAACTTTTTCAAACTTTGTATTCTACACCCGCATGCTAGGAAACTAGAGGGAAGCCTGGCCCTTTCACACTACACATTTATAGTGCTATGATTCTACTTTAACCTCCATGGCAACTTATGGAGTCTGAAGATCTGTTGCTTAGGGAGGTGTACATACAGTTCTCATGCAAAGAGCTCCAGTGCCTTCCCAAACAACAAATCCCAGGATTCCACAGGATGCTGCTGTGGCAGATAAGGTGCTCTAATTGTGTACTGTGGAAAGGCCACAGAATTGCCAAGATCTTTAAATAAAACTCTTTTACATGTTTCTGTTCTGTTACTTGAGCGACATTATAGTGTATAGAATAACTAGGAACTCTGTTTAAGCCTTGATGCTGTTCTAGTTGCCTTAGATATTGTTACTGTAGAAATAACAATTCAAGCTGACAGCTTGGAAATGACTGGAGGCAGTGCTACCGTTGTTTAGGTAGGTCAAGGTGATCAACAAATGTGATTTCCCACATACCACATTGTACATTCCTGCTGCTTGATATAAAGGAAAGGCAACAGAATTATTATGCTTTATTGTTTTAAGAACTGTTTTCTTATTGGCCCATATTTGGCTCCTTGGTACAATATAGTGAAAAAAACTTAGACATTGTTTCAATGCCATTAATTAGCATGTGAGATGGAAAAATAAAATAAAAATTGTCATAGCAATTACTACTGAAGATGACAAGTTCGCCGTGTGCTATTTTAAGTGCTATTTTAAGCAAATTTAGTACCTGAATTTATGTGTGAATATTTAAGATTCTCCAGTGCAATTTTCCTCCAGAGCAATTTTCTGTTACATGACTTTTAAAAAAATATGCAACTAGACACAAACTAGGACTTTTATGGAACAAAAATATGCAGCCCCCCCCCCAAAAAAAAGCAATGTATGTATTCAAAAAATGAAAAAGATATTCTCTGTTAACCAATGTAATGAGCAACCGAAATCCACCCCAGCCCCATGATCAGGCAGCAAGAAATGGTTACTTCAGTTTTCTGGAGGGAGGGGAAGGAAGCAAATTGTTTGTGCAGAATTGCAGGTCCCTTTCTCTATCGAATAAGTGTTTCCATACAATAAGTTTCTTCAGTGAAAACAAGAGACTTACATCCAAATATATCATTGAATCAATGGGGATTTGGTAAGTCAAGAGCAGATTCCAAACAAGGTCCACTCAGATTTGTAATGCTGTCAGGTTTTATATACAATATGCAAACAATGTACAGGCAATCCCCATGTTATGAACAAGATAGGTTCTGTAGGTTTGTTCTTAAGTTGAATTTGTATATAAGTTGGAACAGGTACATTTTTAAGTGTAATTCCAGCTGTGTGTGTGTGGCTGGAGTTACACTTTAAAATGTGTACACACATATGTACACACATACATGCATGCCTGCATGCATGCTTTGGACAGCATACGGAAGGAGCAACATCCTTGAGGCAGGCATGTAGCCGGGGGGGGGCTTGGGGGGCTTCACGCCCCCCCCCCCCCTTCTCAGCATGGTCTGCCTTACTGGTACATTATTTAAACTGTTATGTTTATTCATATCATGATCTGATCACCATGCTCAATATATCCCATATGCATGGGGTATTGGGGTAACGATACAAAAGGTTTGCTAGGGTAGACCCTCTTTCACTCAGACTCAGCCCCCCCCCCACCAAAACCCAACTCAGCCCCCCCCGAAACAAAATCCTGGCTACGGGCCTGTCTTGAGGTGTTTGTTTTGCTGTCTTTGCCCCTCTTCAGAAGATTTCATCTTATTTTCTATCCCTGTGACAATTGGATTTTGAAAATGTTGCCTTGTTGTGGAAACAAGGTTTGATGAGAAAGCTTCAGTGGAGACACCTTTTCCCCATAATAACTCTGTCAGAAGTGAATTTTCCTTCCAAGGAATGGATTCCTCTCACTTCTTGTGTCCCACTCCTGTTCTTCACTGTGAGTAATTTGTAAATCAGATGTTTGTAACTTGGGGACTGCCTGTTTAACCATTTATTTTACAGCAATTTCATAAATGCTTCAGCATCTGTTTCAAAATACACTCACACACACAATCAAATGATATGGGAATTTTTTTAACAAAAGGCATCTGTCAAGAGTGTTTCATTGCTTTGCACAGCCCAGGCACACCTCAAGCCAAATTGAAGTAGATGGAACATTATAAAGTATTTATAGATGCCAATCCCTAAGCAAACAAGTCAGGTAGCTATGTTTGAAGCATGCTGAAAGCATACAGTAACACTAAGCTATAGAGAGTAGTATCTAGGGCCCCTTCCACATAGCTATATAAAATCCACATTGAACTGGATTATATGGCAGTGTGGAATCAGATAATCCAGTTCAAAGCAGATATTGTGGATTTTCTGCCTTG